AACTTCCGCCGAGTGCCCCTGAGAGAAACGTTACAAAGTATGAGAATGCAAATTATGGCTCTTCCATTAAGGAAGTTTAACATGTTGCTTTCTTTTTTTCAGCAGCACAATCTTCTTTCTATAATCCTTCCGTATATTATTTATTGCCTTGTCCAGTATATCATAATTTTGGCAGAAAGATCTACTGGACTGTGGAGTAGTCAATATCCCACCAACTGCAAAAAATCAGGCACATCACTTAAGCAATGAGCAACTGTCTGAGGATGTCATAGTTTGATTTAAACAGAATCACATTAATTTACCAACACATACTGAAACAGATTATTCATTTTCAGTAAATTACAGTATGGTGAATGGGTGGAAAAAAGAATGTAAGCATGTGTATAAGCTAAAGGCTCACATATTGCACTGCTCTTTGCTCTGCTCAGAGCTCTGAGGAAGAGAAAGCCAAGGAGGAGAAGATGCCTTTCACACTCTAGAGGCTGCAGACACCAAAGGAAGCTTATGCACTATCTGATATTTAGAATTTATACAAGAGAAATGCATTGAAACAGCACAGGCCAACCTGAACCTGTGAAACCCAAGTGAGCCAAGATCTATCACAATCTAGAGGTAACTGGATGGCTGTCCTCTGCAGAAGTTTACATTAAGAAGATCCATACAGATCTGGAGTGTCAGACATTAATGTTCTCAGGGTTACTTTATTCTAATGCAGAGGAGGTCATAATTTACAGTATAGCAACATGTTTTAATGAGCAACGGAAGGCATTCTAATCCAGAGCAGTAATGTCACTGAAATGAGGAAATCTGTCATTTGATAAATAGGACTTCTTACAAAATACCAGAGCTTTATCATTCCCTTTAAGTTTTCTTAATGTGCTTTGTAACTGCAGTCACTGTGGGACCACCTCGTAAAAGAAACTGCAAGTTTTGAAACTGTTGTAACAGCTATACCCTTATTTATATTAGTTAGAAAACTAAGAAAGCAAGGTGCACTTTTGAAAACAAAAGGAAGGTAAACATACACTTAAAGTGACTACTTCCTCTCCTTTCTCTATATCCCATAATTTGGCGGTGGTATCCATGCTTCCAGTTGCCACCAATGTGCTCTGAGGATTAAATGATAAACACACCTGTAGCAAGAAAAGTTGGATGGAAGAAGTAGGAGATTATTTATATACATTTTCTCAAAAACAATGGGTCAGAATTAATATTTTAAAACAAGACAGAAGTCTGACTTGTTTTCTTTTTCTTTTCTACTGAGTAAGTATGGACACTCCCTCCCCAGCAAAGTATCATATGCAACAATGGCCTTCCAGAAGGTCCAATTCAGAAAAACACATAATTTTCTGCTGGCTGTTAACACACTTAAAATTTCACAAATTAATTCTTCTATGGCTCCAGTTTGTCCTGTACATGAAAGTACAGATCTCCATCAGAATATCTTTTCTGGCAGTGCAGAAGCATTCACAGCAGCTGAATAGCTGCCCCTCCCAGTGTCAGCTCACAGGGACCTGAAACCCACAGCCATCAATGACACTGTAAGGAGACATGAAGGAATAAGGAACATCCACCAGTACTCACTACTTCTGCATGATGTCCTCTGAAAGTATGATAACATTTTCCTGTTTCTGCACTCCACAGTTTGCAGGTTTTATCAAAAGATCCAGTGGCAATCTTGTCACTAAACGGAAAAAATTTAGATCATTTTTATTTTGAAAAAACCCTCTAACTTGGGAGGCAGCAGAACTCTCAGGAGCAAACATCGAAGCTGTCGAAGCTTGAGTGTATTTGGACATGTTCTGCCACACTGCAAGATCCCAGAGAAGGATTTCACAAACAGAAGTTTCATTAAGGGAGAAGATTAGCAGACATAATTAGTTTCTAAAAGAGCCACTGTGCTTATCTATTAGCACAGAAGTATTCGTAACTGATGACTAACCTACATTAGGGATGTGGTTATCTGCTGTACTTCCACATGTCTTTAAAATTTGTGTCATTTCATCAGATAGTATCTGTTTATCAACAGTTATAAATGCTTCTTATAAGCAGTTTACCCAAATTTCAGAGGTCAAACTCCCCTCCCACCTGAGTCAGGGGAAGTGTTGTGGCCAACTGCAGTTAGAGAAAGACTGAAGTGAGGTACCCAGAAAATGTAGCAAGGGACAGTGTATCAAAACCTCAAGATTAGCAGGAAAGAAAAGGAGTTTTTTACTAACTTTTACTTTAAAAGTAGCTCAATGTTCTCATCAGGTTTTCGCTTGCTATGTATTGCTTCTCCACTTTTATGTTACATTCTGGTTATTGATCTTTGCACAGATTTTTGCCATACATTAATTTCTTCCAAGTATATAAAATAATCTCATTAATTGCTTTTTTAAAGTAAAGAATAACATCAGAATATAAGACATTGACATAGCATGTTCTAGGTTAGATTAAGTCGTTTCACTTAGAGGGAAATGATGACACCCCACACAGCATAAGAACATGACTTTAGCATTTATTTCCTGATGTTAACTGTACTGCATAACTGATAATTAGGACATTTGACAGTGAAAGAAGTGATGTGATTCGATACAGAAATAGGAATTAATTTCCCTCATTTCACAGAGAAGCAAAATTATTTACTTGCACACAACAGCTTCCTCAGGAAGCAAATGACAATGAAGCTGCAGTGGCTAACATGTAATTCCCTTCGCCTAACAGGTGGCAGTTCTAAGCTGGGGCAAACAGTTATTGCAGAAAACAAAAGATGCAGAAATTCCAATGTGACATTCATGCAGCGGCACCCTGTGGATTTTATGCAAATTACTCAACAGCTGTGACACTTCGAAATCATGTCCTAGAGAGTGATGAATGGAGAAATTCCCTTCTGTTAAAACAGAAATGTTCTCTCCCCTTAACAGAAGCAACATAAGCTGTCGTAAGTACTTTTATCTCACACCATATACAGTTACACAGAGGCAGTAAAGAATGATTAACATTCAGAACACAACCTGATCATGTAGATATTATCAAAATAAATCATTGTTTCACTATATTAAACTGACTCATGTATGCATTTTTCAAGACTTTGAATACCTAATGAAATTTATGCGTGGATTTCTAAATTTTATTTAAAAAATTTATAGCAGAAAACATGCTTGAATGTTTGTCTTAAACAACTAACACCCAGTGTCATCCCATGGTGATTAGCTATAGCTGAACTTTACAAATTCAGAATCTGAACTCTTGCAGTTTAAGATCATCTATTTTATGTTAAAGTTGGAGTAACAGTTCTGCATTTGCAACATAATGTGACTAGGACTTAAGATGTATGTCAGAGAAAATATGTTTACCCATAGGGATTATTGAAAGCTATTGCATAGACCACGTTCCTGTGTCCTTCCAGCATCCGGAGCTCTTCTCCTGATGCTGTATCCCACACTTTGCAGGTTCTGTCATAGCTTCCAGTGATGAAACTATACCAGAGAGAAACTAATTAATACAGTGCATGTCTTACTGGTCCTGTGCATAGCCAAACGACTTCCAGAGACCACAGATTTCAGTTAGCACTGTCTCAGACCCTAAGTCTGCTCTTTCTTTCAAAAACATAGACTAATTACCATGGAATTTCCTTTTCTTCTTTTTTGTTTTTTAAATATTACTAGTAAAAAAAATCCTTGTTTCTATTCTTTAATGTATTTCACCTAGAAAGCAAGCTGCTGCTTTCAGGAAATGAAGGAAAAAGTTATAAGGCATGTGTCCATGGTGAAATCAATTAACATGAAATTCCACTACAGTGAAAGTCCAAAAAGAATTTATGTCAAAGACTCATTTAGCTTTTAGTAATATTTACTTCATTGCCATAAAGGTGATCCTTTCTCTAATATGGTAATTGTCAATAAAATATCAGCTTGGAAGAAAAAAAAATTACATAAATCTCACCCACTACTTTTTTGTATCTCCCACTGGTTCTCCCACAGAAGCCTGAAATCTAATCCCCCATCATGTTTGAAGTTGCTTATGAGCAGCATGGCTGAATGCTTTGTGCAGCAAGATAAGAGCTCTGAAATTCCCTTACAGTTTATTTTGCAAATACAAAACTTCAATTATGTATTTTGACTTAGAAAACAACTTACCGTGAACCAGATTTGTTAAATGCAACATTAGTCAGTGGCAATATATGTGCTCTGAGTACCTGAAACAGAAGCAGGGGGAGGGAGAATAAAACAACTTTTGATGCAAACAATTTTTTTTTTTAATTGCTCAAAATATTCATGAGGTTAATATTTTCTTCTCCTCCTGTCAGATCAGCAGTTACAGCTGTAATACATTAATCCCTAATGCCTCAGCAGGTTATCAGTGTAGGTATTATATAGTATTGATTTCAGATTTATGTTTTACTTGAATAAACTGTCTTTTCCCCCACGTTTGCTTTTTCTCCACCTGCTCTTAGACCAGCAAAGTAACCCTAGGCCAGAGCTGAAAGGGCATACACCAAATGAGCGAGGAGATGACGCCTGGTGAGAGCACTGATGAAAGAAACCCCAGCTGATAATATTAACCCTTATACAGTGAGCCAAGAGATCCAGCTGAACTGAATATTTTGAGTCTCTTAGATTATGGGATGCTTTCAGATAGTATATAACTTAGTTTTAAAAAACAGGAAGAACAGAAATAAGGTACATCTACATCCTGTAAGGTCATGATCAAAAAGGCGCGCAGAACCCTAACAAAGACTTATCAAGACAAAATTCAAAGAGGGAATTTTGAATTTGATGTCTGCCTGTATTGTATCAGTTATGGAGGTCACTGGATTATTAACACTGCTTCTGAGGTACTTTAGTCAGACAGTGTGTATGTTCCAGTCTCTCATAGCCATAACAAGGCCTATTAGAGTTTACTAAACACCAGTGGAAGTGCTCTCAGACACTGCCAGTGAAACCCAGCATGCCATGGTGCTTTGAAAATTACTAACAAAGACAGAATCTGTTTTGTGTTTAAATAAGCTGGCTACTGTGTAGCAGGGTTTGCATTTCAACAACTTTCATTTATTACCATCTTGCTTCCACACCACCCAAAAGCACAATAAAATCACAACTTGGGAAATCACAGCAATTGAGGAAAAGGGATATTAAAAACACAGCAGTGGTCCACTAGGTCTTCCCTGTGGTGTAGGAACGAAGACAACATAATTTACAAATGATGCCATTTAATCACTGACAGATTACCAGAGCTTCAACTTTTTCTTCTCATCTCCAGCCTGTCTCCAAAAGGAAACCAAAAGGATCTCAGAGATCTACTCAGAAGAGTAGGGACTGGTCAAAATGAAAATACCAATGGACAGGTGAAGGACTAGAGATACAAACATAAAACCTGCTTTATGTCGGAGAAACAGCGATTTCTGTTCTCTAGAGAAAGTAAGACAAGTTGTACTTCAAGCTACAGTGGTGGGAATGGGCAATCAAGACAAAGGAATCACAAAAATATTTTGCTTTTCTTCTTTTAAACAGCCACAGTATACAAATATCTGTATATGAGAATAGATAGTTATGGAAATTTATGGAAATTTGATCCATGACATTTTTAGGTTGCCTGCTCCATGCAGGCAGCTCTGAACAAAGAACATATTTACCAATTATGAAAAAAAAGGAAGAAAATGAGATGGGTTTATGTTCAACTTCATATCACAGGACTAATTCTGTTCTTCCAATGCCCAGTGCTGCAGTTGCTTCATCCACAAAACTCTGAAGTCAGCAAGAATGGTTGTACAAATGATGCAATTACCAAACCCTAAAGCGATATTAAAAAAAAAGTACCTCAGTTCTGCAAAATCTGCCCCAGCAGTCCCTAAGATGAAAATCTGCAAATCACTGCAGCATGCCCTTGCCATGTAACAGTTCAAAACCTGAGAAATGGTTACAAAAGCTTGTTCTCTGCAGGGTGCCTAGCACAACGCCGCCACCACAATTACTGGAAATCACAAAAAGATGGGTTTATGCGCTCATTTAAGATGATGCTCCAGCACAACAGGAAGAAAAAATCGATTCCAAACAATGCAAACACATGGAATGTTTCTTTTTTTATAAAAAAAAAAAAAAATCTCGCTCCCAGCCACATCTTGTATTTTATTAGTATCTCAGAAGCACCTGATACTCATGTTTCATTTACAAGCCTGAAATGGAACTGAAAGATAAAACAAGTCTATTTCATACACTTCTAACTACTTTTGGGTGAAGGCAATAAGCCAGCACTAATTGGATTTGCTGCCTCTAGTATTTCCAAATACAGCAGCTCAAACATGGCACTACACCAAAGCAACCACAGCAAGCACAAATACATTATTTACACTGATTTGAACAAGCATTTGATGATTTGTTAGCCTCTGTGATGAACAAACAATTTTAAAAGCTTGTGAAAAGCAAGGCATTATCTCGGTTGAGAGCATACCTAAAACCACAACAGGAACATTTTACATTTCACACGCCACATTACATAGCTCAGTTTTCAAGGTTAAACACACAAGTCTTTGCAGAATTCACCCAGATGTTTATTGTTGGTCAAAAGAACACGTTACATATAGCAACATGTAAGGGATTTCTTCTAGCCAAATCAACCAGCACAAAACTCCCTTTTCTCTCTAAATGTAAGGTAACAATAACAGCTCACTGACCAGCAATTTCTAACAGCTGCACATTGCCATCTGCTGACACAATAAAGATAAAACACTCAATTTCACTTCATCTTGAAGGTCCCTTCCAACCCAACCCATTCTATGATCATTATTTCAGATTGCAACATGCAATCTCTGGAAGTATATTTTTTTTTCCACAATCAAACCTATCTTTTTCTGACAGACTGGATTCTGGGTTTGAAGCCCTGGATGATCTTGCTAACCATTGTTCTAAAAAACATTACTCATTTTTAAGTAATTTTTAAAGTGCTGTCTGTGAGCTGAAGCCCAAACTATCAATATTCAGACATAAAAGTAATGGCAGAAAGTAATGACAATCAGTATTACTGTATGTAGCAGAACACACAAAATCCCCATAATTTTCACAAAATGAAGAACAAGTAGACACAGGTTTTGTTTAAACATAACTATGGGTGCTGCTGACTTCACAGAGTCTTATCTGACAAACCAGAATTATTTCTTCCTACCCAAAGCACACCTTGTACATAAGCCTGTGTAAATAGTGTCTCAGAACACTTGTAGCTCCCAGCCGTTCCGGGGAATCCCTGGCAGGTGTAGCCAGGACAGACTCAGTTGCTCTAAACAGTGCAGAAGTGATTGAAAAGAGCCCAGAAATCGGTCATAAAGTCCAAATTTTACTCTCAGGCAAAACATGCAGCAGTAAAAATATACCCGCAACATCACAACTGAAAACCCTAAAAATGCCTAAAATTATTTTAAAGATGCTTCTGACCGTAAAAAGATGGAACTTGTGATCCTCTTTCTCCTCTAGCTTCTCTTGCAGTCTTCGTACTAAATGTATGACATGTTCCTTGCACGAAGCTGTGATCAGAGGTTCTCCTTTTTGGATTTCTTCTACTAAGGCTACAGCATCCGTGCTAATTAAGAGAAAACAAAACAAAACACCAAACCCACCAGATTTCATCCTCTGGCAATATTCTTGCAGGAGCTAAAAACTGTCATTCATCACAACATTACGAAGTTAAGTGCTGTGTATTTATGCTGGTTTTGTACAGGCATCGTCATAACTCTATAAAAAGAGGCTTTACCTCTGAGCAGAAAAGTATGATAAAAATCAGCTCGAGTGCAACATTCTGTACTTAAAACAGTAGGAGAATGATTTGACTATGTTATTTTCCCTTCCATGTGTTTTAGTGAACAAGGCATAGCTAACCTTAGTTATATCTAAACAATCAAATAGAGCTGTATAGGAGAATGCTACAAAAAAGTAGAGTGCTATTATCTGAAATAATATCATACTTACTCAGGTCTAAGATTGAGTAGGTCTATAGATCTGGTCTTTGTCTCACCATCTTGTACATATTCCAGAATAATTCCTTAAAAAAAAAAAAAAAGTGATAAAAAGGTCTTGATGATATGTCTGGGATTTTAAAACATGCACTGTAGACAGCAATGCTAACACTTTTATTGCTCCACCAACTTCAGCAGACCTAATTCTAGTTCTTGGAACAAGAAGATTGGCTCTTCTGGCTGAGAGTTAGCAGGATGATGGACAACTCTGATGTGTTTACATGATAAAGGATAGTAATCCATATTATTTATGAGCCATCTTCCATTCTGGAAGTGAACAAGCTCTTTTTTCCCCCAACAACTTTTTGCCTGATTTCATCGCTCTATTCTCAAATAAGCTGCCCTGGAGACACTTGCTGCAGTTTAGTGTTCCAAGAAGCCTAGAAAACATGTTTTGCAAAACCTGTTATTTTTAACACAGGCCTGAATGCAGTAATATATAGAAAATCATAACACACTTCCTATTTCTAGGTATGCTCTGTCACCTCCGCACTTTCTATTCAGCTGAAATATTACAATGTTTAACCACATTGCTTCCTGTTTTGAAACAGTTGGTAAAGATTTCTGCCGCTCCTTGGATTTCTGTGGGAAAGGATAATTTAGATGGATTTTTATGTCATTTTGCATTCTACCAAGTCCATGAGAAAATCATTTAACATGAGAGAAAGCTGTGTTAGTATAATAGGTTTCCTGAGCTGGCTATCTCCAGCCTCTTTCACTTCTGGAAATTCATTAGGTGTCCTCACTGAGTTAATGATAAAGGATGAAGGCAGCTCAGCGGCACACTTTACCAAAGTGTGATTCTGCTCAGAAATTTCACCAGAGAAAGAAAATGCAACAAATGTAGCAACTTTTTGATAAATAGACCTTGTGATAATCAATATACGTGCTTTTGGTGCCGATTACTGTCAAGTTTTTTTTTAAACCTCCTTACTGCGACGTAAGGCTGTATTTCACAATAAATCATTAATTACAGCCCCAGCGATGAGCTGGAAGTCACCCCTCAACCTCCCTGCCAAAAACCCCCGCACCTGAAGCCAACCCGGCTGCAGGCGCAGGATCCACCCGTGACCCAGGGGAGGAGGCGCCATTACGAGACCCCCCC